TTTTTTTTTTTAGATTACTGATTAGTCTCTCCCGAAACGCGAGCCACATACCCTATACCTACCACCATGCATATCGCAGCGATTTACTCTACCGATGGCGGATTAGCGAACAGAGCCTTGATCTGGTCATGTTATTTTCATACGAATGTTCTTTTGTACGTCGAGGCGGTTTGTAGCCTAAACGGCCCCAGGTTCTCACCTGTGCTCGCTAGTTGACCTTCATAACAACCAGAACCTTGCGTTCCTCGAGGCCCATAATTTACAAATTTGGCTTAACGACCGCGAAGTTCGCGCCGATAAAACGCCTCGACTTATCGTTCATCATATCGCGGATTCACTAGATCGCTTGTCACATTTTTTGCTCTCGCTCGCCCTTCGCACCATTTACAATTGTCGCTGTACTAACTTAGTGCTAACTCAGTCTCACAAGGCTTTATATGCAGCGAAGTACATTGTTGTTGCAGTAAACGCTCACCACGTGCACAAATAATGAAAATACATAACTAATTGGTCAATAATAACTAAATACATAATATTAATAATATATCAAGACGCACATGCATGTACATCGTCGTTTTTGGTCCGTTAGAGTACCATTCTTATAAAATCGTAGAATACGAAATAAAAATAAAAATTATACGGAAACCATATTCTATAAAATATTCCATATTCTATTAAAGCCGTTTTATTCTTAAATTTAATTTATAAATTATTATACATATAGTTACAATGTGACTGTAATTTCGCAATATTGCAGTAATATTATTGCAACTCGAAATGTCGGGTGGGATATGTCATCAGAATAATCATTACCATGCTAAACTCTCCAGTACGCGAAAAATAGTATTGGCGTATACGAGTGATTTTTTCTCAGCACTCAGCGATTTCTTAACTCTCTTTTTATAACTCTGGTCTAGAAAAATACTTTTGGAGTGCTCTGAGAGTAGTCGCTCAAAAATGCAATAAGTAGACCAATTTTTATAAACCAGAGATACTTATTAGTCCACCTAGCTTCTAGACTTTAGGTCTCTAAAAAGCCGTTTATGTTTACTGTATTACCTTTTATTTATATTCAACAATTAATACTTTTCTAATCACATTTACTTTCTTCTGTTACAGTTTTTTATTTTCATGTTTCAACTTTACGTATGAGTTTTTTTGCAGGTTAATCCTAAAATTCACTAAACTTCATGAGAGAGCCATGTCAATAACGCGAACTTTGACATTGTTTTTTATTTAAAAATTTTTTTGGAAGCAAATGCTTAAATTCTTAGTACAGACGCATAAAACTGCATTTTATTAAATATCTGAGTATGGATACTGCGGTTCAGCTTATCAGGTAATTTGTAAGTAGTAGGTACGTATCTATTACATGTAACATAGACTCAGTAAAAATGATAAAAAATATTTAAAAAATAGTAAAGGCAGGCTTTTTTCATTTCGGCGTATGATTTTGTTTGATATCCCGAGTTTTTGTGTTGTTTGGTTGTGAGTAGTATTGTGGTATATATACTTTATTTGAAAGTGATGGGACGTTTTCATGGTGGCAATAGGCCATGTTCTTCTCTCATCTGCATGGATTAATTTTCTAGCATCTTCACATGATTTGTTTTCTTTTACCATTTTTCTTTGTATCTCACACTTTTTTATGAAAGTTTGACATCTGCTCTTATCCATGGTTCGGTGTCCTTTTCCACAAGTAGCATATTTCAGTACATAGATTGGACTTGAGCCTTCACATTTTGATTCAGCACACTGCCTACATACAGGATCTTTCTTACATTGGGACGTTATATTTATGGCCTGGCTTCAGACAGGAATAGCATATTTTTAGCGAGGGTACGTAGGGTTATACTTCATGTGCAATTTTACATATGAATACATATTGAGGCAACTTCTGACTTACAAATGAGACAATTATTGATCCTGTGGGAGTCCATTGGGGTTGACCTGCTGCTCCTGTGAAATCTTTGTTCTTTTTCATTATTCTTCCATCACTTGCTATCCTCACTCCAGCTTTAATTTAATTTAGGATTTCATCCTCTGAAATATCCTGATCCACTTCTCTCATGACACCTCTCCTAGTCTAACGGAATGATGGGATAAAGGCTTCACAATTTTTCTTATCTATTATTTCAGAGTCATTTACTAAGCTGTTAGCTTCTTTACAATCTTCAAAGATGGCTTCTATATTTCTTGTTGATTTTGGATAAATCTGAATGACTCTAGGGTACTTATTGCAAATATGTTTACTTAAAGTTAACCTGTTGATTCTTGCCGAGTAATTACCATTTGGCTGTGCTTTACTTTTTACCACAACTCCAAAAGGGTCGCTGTTATCTTCAGTCTAAAGCTGTATTGGAGGTCTATTCGCTTTGAGCGCAATTCCGAAATCGCGCCCCCACTGGGCACTTTGAGAACGATTGGTCGTCATTAGAAAAGGTAATTATTATGAAATCGAGCTTCTGGCTCCATTCACCAGGTGGCCAACCCTTCAACATCGTTTTTCTACAAGCATGTGGAAATCAATTCATAGTACTGTCCCTTCCTAATCATGACCAATTGCTCTCAAAGTGCCCAGTGGGGGCGCGATTTCGGAATTGCGCTCAAAGTGAATAATTCTCCTTATTTAGGTTACTCTCTTGAGTTTCTTCCTCCTGTGATTAAGTCATCACGTTGGCCGCCTCATTATCTCTTGTATTTTTCCCCTTTTCATCGACTTTTCTCTGTTTGCCTTCGTTTTCGGTCTTTTCTATGAACTTTCTCTTGTTATTTTTTTCTCCCTTTAAAGCTCCTACTTCCTGTTCTTTATCATTGGTTACTCCTTTTCCTTCAATGATCTCGACACCCTCCACCTCTTCCTGTAGTATCGCACTGCGCCTCCCGGAAATCAAATGCATGGTAATGGTTATAAGTTTTCAGCTGCTATCAATAACCCGATAACCCAAAACCTTAGGTTTCAAGTTAATAGATTCAGTTGACGGAATTTTGAAACAAGACTTATTTACCAATACGAATACGCACTTACCTGCACCTTTATTATACGCATGTTACAGACATGATTTCTAAGCGATGCATATTTGTGTTTTACACCATATGACATGTGTCTTATACATATTAACGATAATTTTGTTCAACTTATAAAATTAATATTTCGTAAGAACTTGGTCATACAAGGTCATATTTATTTGAAACGACACATTTAATAATTTAATATTAGAACTATATTAAAATGTTCTTGGTTATTTTTTTCACAGTACAAGTTTTGACACAACACAAAAAAAACGTATGGCATGGTATTGAGATGGAAAAACAAAGTTAGAATGTCATTCGATTTTGGGGTAAATAATTTTGCTGGCAACTCAATGGTAATACAAAATTCTCTTATTTAGAGCTTCGGGATCGCGATCCGGTTACAGTTAGGGTAATGACATTCAGCCAATGAAATGCAACTGTTACCGTTATCATTTTTTGAAGCTTTTTTTTTTAACAAGGTGAAAGAGTCAAGTACACAAGTTTACAGCTTATTTGTACACCATAAAACCCAAGTATAAACGTCACAAGTACTAATTTTACTAATTTTTCTTTCACTTAAGATGAAAATATTGCAAATTTTCGTGCAACGACTTACACTGATTTATTCTTCCATAAAGAAGAAAAAAGCAGTACCAACTTTACCAACAATGAACAACAGAGATGATGTATATTATAAAGAAACACACCTAATGAAGCTTACAGTCACCGTGTATACAAACGAAATTGAATTTGAAAAATCCGTGCTAAGAGCGTGTTTTCTCACGTCACACCTTGAATGCAGCCCCTAGGTACATGGAAAGCAAGAGAGAGAGAGAGAGAGAAAGACCGACAGAAGAAGGACAGAAGCACGTACAAAACATGAACCTGCGCTTATATACTCGTGGGCGAAGGGGGAAAAGATGGTGCACGGGAAAAAGAGGGGAGAGAAAGCACAGGTGTTCCCCGAGTGGTCGGCGGCGGGAGTCGAGCGCGTATGCCGGCTCCCTCGGTCTCTCGCCGCAGTGTCGGCCAAGCACCCCGTGGACTCGCGTGCGCCGGGCCCCTCGGCCTTGAAACCCCTTGCTCTCACCTCACCGATACTGCACACCCAATGTTCACTTGGACGGGACACCGCGATTTGTAGTTCAATCAAAGAGATCGACCCGGTTTTTTTTTTTTTTTCTTCTTCTTCTTCTTTTTGTGCTGTACGCGGGATGAACACGGCTTCCACTTGACTCCTAATTGAGGCTCGTTCGCGGCGTGCGTGCAGTGCGCGGATGACAAGTGAACCTTGAAATTTTTCAGTGCAATTCAGTGAGTCACGCGGCGAGCGGCGCGGATAAGTATCAAGTGCGAGGAGGGAAGTCGCCGGAAACCGCGGCTGGGTATTATGCTAATCAGACGGCGCTCAGAATGCGGGAGGAAGAGCTCGAGATATCACTCAAGGTTCGTCCTGCGAAAGCGCCCATTTGAATCTCCGATTATCTCCCTCCCTACACTCTCTTTGAGTGATTTTTTTTTTTCCCCCCTCTCGATTCACGAGCGTGGGACAAGTGGTTCGATTTTATTTCCTCCGTGATCGCTACTGGCGGTGTTTCCCTTGTCTTTGTTGTTCCGCGGTGTTTTGAGTTGGTTCGGCGCTCGACCGATTAGATAAGGAAACATGTCCAGCTACGTTGACTCGAGCGCTTATCGGTGAAATAATCTAAGCGAACTCTACACTGCGAGGGGGAAAAAACTCGAATAAAAATTACTAATGTGGGTTATTCTCAATAAATGGAACATTTTTTCGCAATCCTATTTGTTTTTCATGTACCTCGGATTGTTTGCACCTCGATGAAACATAGGCAGCTATTTTTTCAATTAAGCTTCCACAAGCGACAAACGTTCGTTCACGTAAAGAGACTGGTGTTTCTCGCGTGTCTTTATTCACTACAACACATGCGTACCCTAGCTTGATATTTTTCAAACAAACTACGTGCCGTTAAATCGGTATGGGAATGCCTTCGTGAAAATGAACGATCCAACCAACGTACCGATATTTTGCAAGATTTTTGAAAGGTGTCATTCCCTCATTTTCATTTCGTTTCCATACTGCCCATTCACGTCCAGAGCGATAAATATTCCACGCAAGAAATCACATTGAGGCGGAAATCGCAAAAAGATAGTTAAACATTGAGCATTTGAAAATTGGATCCGCGCTCGGTGCTGTAATAAAAAGACTTTAAAAAATTTGGGGCTGGAAGGGGGTGGACGAATCGATAGAAGCACACAGGAGTAAACCAGGAAAACGAGCCACCCTTCCTCTCTTCCAGCACCAATTGTCAATGCAGAACAGCAAACATGCAGTTCAAACTTGAATTTTTTTTTTCCAACTGATTCTCGAATGTTAGGCCAGTCGAACAAGTCAATGTTGACTTATTATAAGTTAAAAGTCGTTTACTTATTGTGATAAGTAGACGACATTTTACTGATCTGCAGTAAAATTTAACTGATTCATTCAACAGTGAAGGACGTGAACGTTCAGCGAATATTTGCAACCGAAATGTGTAGATTACTCCACGCGATTGGCATAGGAACGGTTAAAAACAGTATTACCATACGTGCGATGTATGTAGTTGAGCGAGTGGGGGGTGGACTTGGGTAAACTATTTAGGCACAGTGAGGGTAGCACTTACGTATTATGCACCTGGCGGGTAGGGTGAGTCCTTTTGTAGTAAAAAAAAGAAGTAGTACCTTTTTATGTCCTCGAAGACCGGCGCCAATGGTTTGACCTTAAAATTTTCATCATTGCACTACAATAAACACAGCCAACGAGTGCGTACTCTACAGTTCATTGTGCAGCAGTTTTAACGGGTGGATGTGTATTTAAGAGTCGGAGGGAGTGAGTCGATGGATAATTACTCGACGGGTACGTGTATAGTAGCTACATATATTATATACATATATACGCACCTGAGGCTCACATGTACGTATATACGATCCATTGATGGCGAGTGTCAGTTGCGTGGGGGTGAAGGGACTCCCTTTTGCCGGCACATTTACGTATCCGTGGATGTGTGAAAGTCGTAGCGAAGCGGCCTTAGAGACATACACACGCAGTGCTTACACCCGCGAGTCTACAAAAAAACTTTTGTCTCGTGTCTTTAAATTTCGGAAAGCTTTTGCTTACTTTTTTAGAATTTTGTTTAGCATTACAAATTTGATATACTTCAAGCTCTTTTTTTTTTTTTTTTTTTTTTTTTTTTTTTTTTTTTAGATTACTGATTAGTCTCTCCCGAAACGCGAGCCACATACCCTATACCTACCACCATGCATATCGCAGCGATTTACTCTACCGATGGCGGATTAGCGAACAGAGCCTTGATCTGGTCATGTTATTTTCATACGAATGTTCTTTTGTACGTCGAGGCGGTTTGTAGCCTAAACGGCCCCAGGTTCTCACCTGTGCTCGCTAGTTGACCTTCATAACAACCAGAACCTTGCGTTCCTCGAGGCCCATAATTTACAAATTTGGCTTAACGACCGCGAAGTTCGCGCCGATAAAACGCCTCGACTTATCGTTCATCATATCGCGGATTCACTAGATCGCTTGTCACATTTTTTGCTCTCGCTCGCCCTTCGCACCATTTACAATTGTCGCTGTACTAACTTAGTGCTAACTCAGTCTCACAAGGCTTTATATGCAGCGAAGTACATTGTTGTTGCAGTAAACGCTCACCACGTGCACAAATAATGAAAATACATAACTAATTGGTCAATAATAACTAAATACATAATATTAATAATATATCAAGACGCACATGCATGTACATCGTCGTTTTTGGTCCGTTAGAGTACCATTCTTATAAAATCGTAGAATACGAAATAAAAATAAAAATTATACGGAAACCATATTCTATAAAATATTCCATATTCTATTAAAGCCGTTTTATTCTTAAATTTAATTTATAAATTATTATACATATAGTTACAATGTGACTGTAATTTCGCANAAATTATTTTAAGCACAAAAAAATTATAAATTGAGAGTAACTTTTTGTAGTAATTTCATTGTATGAGTGCTTTGGCTGTTAAGAAAATCGTACAAAACATTTGACAGATATAGATTAAATTTTTTTACATATTAGGCTGATCTACGATCGAAAAAACTTGCAGGTGTAGTTTACATCAAAATTTATCAAATTCGCAGGTGGTGATTAGAAGTAAAAATTAACCTTTTCTACAAAATTTTTTTTTCTCGGTAGTATAAAGGGGATTATTACAAAGTTTTATCATTAATGGTATTATTTATAACATACTTAAATTTAAAAAAAGTCTATAGTGATGCCAGTTCAAAGATATATTAATTAAAAGTTGGACCACAATGCATTTAGTACACCTATTTTGAGGAAGGCAAGATTTTGAAGCATTATTCTTTGGTTTTTTCCCTAGTTTGGTATATTTTACACTATAATTTGAATTATTTTACATAATTGTCAAAGAATAATAAAATTAGGATTAATTTTTTACAAAAATTGACTTTTGGGATGGAATGTAAATTAATAATCCCCTTAGGGGTTGATAGTTTAGTTTAGAAAAATGTTAAATCTCAGAAAAAAGCGTACAAAAAATTAATGAAAATATGCTTTTATCAATAAAAAATAACCCAGAAAATAAGTTTTCATACCGCACAGTAAGGATAGAAGCGAGAGTTTCTAAACTTTTATTTTATAAGAACATAAATCAATTCTAACACTAACAGTCACGCGTAGGATAAAAAAACTATTTCTACTTCATAATTTATCAACAAAAACGTATTTTTATATGAATTTTATTTTTAACTTTCAACTCATAATTTTTGTTTGCGATTGAACTATAAGTAAGCAGTCTACAGTACTTATACCTATTTGGCGTCTGATCTAAAAGTTCATAGTCTACAAAATTAAGTAGTGACAGACGAGTAAGGTAAGCCATCGGCGAACCAAAGTCCTATATATTGAAAGCTTGGTAAAAAAAAAGAGGAATTTGGTGTAATCCATTATAACTTTATTGTAATGATAAGAACATTTTTGGTGGAAAAAAAAAAAAAATTAGTCACTCTAGAAGTAAATGAATAATCGATCTCAGTCAACCCGCCACAGACAGCCAGACAGTACGAGTTAAATAACAGCGTATAAAAATACTTTTACTTGACTCGAAAATTAAAACTTTCATATCCGCAAATAATTAAACAGTTATAAGATAATTGCTATAGATTTTATAAAATTTCAACAAATTTCTAAAATATTGACAGTAGCCCCGTGTACGTCGCACCAGTGGTACTTGTAGCTCTATAATAATCGTGTCTTACCCACAAAACTATATGATTTTCGGTATAAATTCAGCAACTTTGGCGTACCAAAGGACCCTAACTAACTAACGCGTCCTGACTAACATTTCCAGAGCATGAGGCAAAAAAATGGCATTCATATTGCTGGAGTTTTCCGAGTATTTTTCGAGGACTTGTTCGTGTACATACATGCAAAGACAGAGACCGAATAAGAGGCAACGGCGGCAGGTAGAAGGAAGTAATGGAGGCGAGCAACTCGGCGAGCAAAGAAGAACAAGTGAGGGAGAGACCGCCGCCACGGTCGAGCAGAGAGAGCTTGCTCCGGAGAACTATCAGGAGAGCGATGTCGCTGGCACATGTGCGTGCGCTGTCTCGGGAAAAATATATATACATGTATATTCGCTCCAAAGTGTATACATTATATATATATATGTACATCCGCAGCACAGGTGCACCGCTCGCAGAGATACAGGTGCAGGTGTTGGTTGTTCCGAGACCGTGCGATGTACGCTCGCATGTACATATATCAACACACCCGCACTCTCGCGTAAAAATATATATATATACATACATAAGCGGACACGAGGCTATAAGGTTGAGGCCCTCCCCATTGCGTCCTTGCGCTGACATCGTCTACGTACGCGTGTATCGTCTATGTACTCCGTATCTACGCGTGTAACTCGTGTGTACGTGTGTATACCTCGTTCATTCCTCCATGAAACCTATAGGTGCACGCCTTCGTGCGCGTATCTATCCGTACGTGGGGTGTACTGAGGCAAGTCAAGCGCGTGTTGTGCGCTTTCGTGTGGAAAAGACACCCCAAATGATGGCCAAAATTTTAAAGGAAGCCTAGACTCGTCGATCGTTGGTTTGTTGTTGTTTTTGGAGTGTTTTTAACGACAATCGTATTATTCTTTACTTACATTGATTCACTAGTTTTTTTATTTTTTTATTTTTTTTTTTTTACACTCGTTTAGCTGACATATCTTTGGTTTTTATCAGGACTTATTTTATGTTTCATTTATTTTTTCCATTCATTTGTAATTAAAGCACAATTAGGGTAATCCACGGAATGACGAGGATTAAATTGCCGCAATGAAGCTTTTTTGAACACGGCAACCTTGTTTAGAACGCA